TACCGTATTGTCGTTCTGGTTGACGATGGCGCAGGTGATGATGAAGCAAGCAGCGGGAGTCCGGTTCCCGAAGTGACAGGTGTCCCGGGGTGGAGCAAACATCAGACGTCTAAAGAGAGATCAGCTCCCTCCTAATCACGACATGAGTACCCACGGGCCCCTCCAACCATCTTGTCAGCTCATACCCACGTGGAATGGCCAAGTAGCCGCTTTGGCTCACTCCCCCGATTGCGCGAAAAGAGGCGTCACCCCTGCGGCTTGGCGTGACTGAGTTGCCCCTGCGCACGTGCTCAGAGGCTTAGAGCACCGTCGGCCTGCCCTCTCCGCACGTTAGACTCCCGCACAAAATTTTGTCGACCTGGCTAGCTTGCTTTTTCTTCAATCGCGCGGGACTTCGTTGTTCCCGTGCTCTATTCTCTCGGCCACTTCTTCGGCCCGAAAGTGTGCAAAGTCTCGTCGACTCCGCCAGTAAGCCCTCCCTCCGTTCGCGCGCAACCCCGTTGCCGCCGCGCGATATGGCCCTGTCATGCCATTAGCGAAGCCGCTGCATCTGCATGCCACCGAGCACTCCCTTAACGAAGTGTCTTCCGCTCATATCTCAGCTCGCCTTCCCCACCCCTCTCTCTCTTTTCCTCTCGAAGGTCTCCCCCACCCCGACCCACTATCTCTCTCCCCTTCACGCGTCGTTAGTTTTGACGATCGCCGGTGACAGTCAATGTACTCCGAGCGCTCTTCGAGTATGCGCTAGCGGCTCCGGGCTAACGAGCGATGGGCGTGCGCAACTATTATGCTATGGACCGTGCTCCCGGGTATGGTCTCTATGTCGCTGCGCTCATGGCTCCCTTTTGCGACGGACGTCCCCCCTCCCTTGCGTGTCCGCCCACGCGATGTACCAACGTTCCCCGATCTCTCCGTGCGTTCCCTTCTTTCTCTCTCTCACTCTCTCTCTCTCTCTTCAGGGCTCAATGGCCCGCAGTTCGTCACGCACACTGGGCATGAGAGCGTGCTCCGCTCGTCCCCCCCTCCCCGTACTCCCCTTCTCTCGCTCACTGATTCTGCCCGGAAACCGCTCGACGGGCGCTCCGTCGAACACTCGCTCGTGCGCGGCCCAAGAAGAGGGACCCCTCCTCCGAGCGCAGTATCCTCCCGCAGTCTCTCTCCGTTCGCACGAGCGATCCGGGCGCGTACGAGCTCCCCTCCTCTCTCTCTCTCCGCGAGCGCCTTTCTCTCTTTTGAGCTCGTGTTTCCGACCGAGCACGCGGTCGAGCACGAACTCTCGTGCGCCCCAAGTGACTCCCTTCGTCGCAGCCCCCGTGCGTCCTCCTGACCTTCACCTCCTGCCCTCCTTTTATACTACTTCCTCCCCCCTTCCTCCTCCTCATATCAATCCTCAGTCCGTGTCCTTCCTCCAATCATCGTGACCTCCGTACCTCCCCCCATCAGTCCCGATTGACTCTTCAAATTTTCGCAAATTTTTGCTGTTCCCGCCTCTTCGCTTTCCCCCTTTTTTATCGATCAGTACTCCCGCTTTTACTCCTTGGTTTCATGCTTCGCAAGAAACAGTTGAAGCTTCTATTTTCCCGCCACGCGAAGTTAACCTCCTTTCCTGCATTTCTCGGCTTTCTCCCCCGTTCGTTCCTTCTTGTCGCAGTCTTGGATCCAGGATCGTACGAACGTTTACTAAGAAGAGAAGGCGCACTCTCCTTTGCTGACAGTTACGTTCTGCATTGCCGATCCCGCAACCCCCTCTTTTGAATCTCACCCTTCTCTGCAGCTCCGACGATTTACACGACTCTTCCTCTTCCATGGGGTCCTTGTGGCCCACTTCTGCCTTCCAACTGGCCGTGCGCATGCCGAATCCTCAGCGCCCGTCGTCCCCCTTTGCTCAACTGATTCCTTCCTTCTCTTCTCCATGCCCCAGATCGGATCGCCCCTGTAGGTCTTCTAATCGGCCAGCTGCCCGGCTGCTTCTGAATCCTTACATCCTTGTTCACGCCCTGCCCAGCTCAACCGGGTCATCTTTCGCCCAGTCGGGGGGCCCGACGGTTCGAGGCCGACCTAGACGGTACCTACTACAGTTCTCCTCGACGCGCATGCTTCTTCGCAGTCTTGACGCCCCCTCTCCGAGGGTCTGAGGGCCCCACATTTCATTGCTTCTTTTGACAGGCCTGGACCCATTTTTGTTTGAAGCGACTACCTCATGCCTTCAAACCGAAATAACCCTTATATATCGAAACCGATCTAACACCCCCTCACGGCGGCGCCTAGCCATCACGAGGTAATGACCACGCTTCAGCCCCCGCGGCTGTGATTGCCAGCATATCAAAGTATCAAGTCAGTCCCAATTTTGATCCTATGGATCGCCCGGAGGAGCCCCATAGCCGCCGACAAGGAACTCACCATTTCCCGTCGCTTACACCGTCGTAGGATATTGCGCAGTTGCCACGTCGGGGTCGCGCTGGTCTCAGCAAGCGCGGCTGTTTCAAGAAACTGTCCATGACCTTCTTGGAGGTTATTCACCTAAGGCACCAAGTACCTCCTCCCTCCACCGGAGCCCTACGGCTAGGCGTAATMAAGTCTGTCGGCCATTCTCACGGTAGTTGGACCGCGGTCCATAGCCGAAGCGCGGATTCCTTGCAGGTCTCCCGATCTTCGGGTTTTTCTCGTCTTGCCCAACAATCCACCATCAGATCCTGTTCCCCTGATTCTGGTATTGAAAATGCCGACTTTCGGGATCCGCGCGAGCCAGCTTGCAACAGTAATCCGACCCGCCATATCCGTCCGTCGCAAGATCAGGACAAAGCCCCGGAGGCTCAGAAATTTACACCGAAAACTTCACTCTTTACATGATTCGCCCTCGCCTACTTGCGACCAAGGTTCGGACCGTCACTCCAGCCAATCGAAGGGTTAGTACGAAGGCCCGGATCCCCGAGGACATCCTTAAATACCATACCCACATGCGCGCATACGTCGAAACCACGCAGAAAAACAGCAAAAAAAGGAAAAAATATTTTTTTTATTTTAAAGAGAAAACCTTCGGCTGGTAGACAGCCGCCCGACAACGGTTGCCTTGCTAACAACCTCCTCCACGTCCGGGGAACATGCGTATGTCGCCAGTCTTCACGAAGATTATGAAAATTATGTTGTCCAGCTGGTCCCGCCGTTGGACCAACCTCTCCACATGCAAGACTCATTTGTGTGTGCGACTTGATCACCATCGCCAAGTGAACCAACATCCTCGCCAAGATCACTCAGGGACTCGTCAGTGTGGTCTAGTTTTGAGGAACTCGACACATTGACACCGGAGGACTTCCAATGGTTGCCTCTTCCCCCATCTGGTTCCTTGCCGAAGCCGCATTGCAACGCCCTAATGGCGGAGCTACGGCTGCTACGCAACTACTTGCACGCTGCAGTACCAGCTCCGTTGATGGAAGATAGAGTAACGGTTGTTGACCTTCGCAAGTACATTGCGAAGATTGACCGCGAGTACGACACGCAACGGTACGACGGCACCGACGCACCGTTACTCTACGTCCACATTCAGATCGGGAAGGCGACCTGCAGCGCCTTGATTGATTGTGGAGCTGCTCGCAACTACATCAGCCAGAATTTCATGACCCGCACCGGCCTTGGGCCGCACGTTCGAAGGAAATCGCAGCCCACGCAAGCCACGTTGGCCGACGGTCGTACGCACAAGTCCATTGACCGGTGCATTGACTTCGTCCCCGTGTACTTCGCCCCGCTTGCACGCGAGGCCGTGTCCTTTGACATATTGGACACGAAGTTCGACATGATCTTGGGCATGTCATGGCTGCGCAGTGAGGACCACCCAGTGAACTTCTACCGCCGTACCATTCACATTCGTGATCGAAACGGGGTACTTGTGCCATGTACGGTCCCCCCACCTCATCCTTTGATTGGTTGTCACGTGGTCTCCGCGGCAAGCATTCGCAACTCCATCGCACGGAACGACGTGGAGGAAATGGGCATTCGTTTCTTGCACGCCCTCCCTCCTCCCGACGAGCCAGCGGCGGAACAACCACCGGATCCACACATTGTACAGCTTCTTGACTCCTATGCCGACCTCTTTGAAGCCCCCGCCGAAATCGTACCGAATCGGCCTATTCGTCACGAGATCATCCTCGAAGACGGGGCCGTACCTCCGCGTGGATGTATCTACCGCATGAGCGAGGAGGAACTCGAAGTGCTTCGAACGCAACTCGATGACCTCATTGCCAAGGGCTGGATTCGCCCTAGATGCTCGCCCTACGGTGCACCTTTTCTCTTCATTCGGAAGAAGAACAAGGAGCTACACTTATGCATTGACTATCGCAAGCTTAATGCTCAAACCATTAAGAATGTCGGCCCGCTTCCACGTATCGACGATCTTCTCGAACGCTTGGGCGGCGCCAAGTATTTCTCCAAGTTGGGCCTCAAGGCCGGTTACCACCAGCTCGAGATCCATCCAAGAGATCGATATAAAACCGCGTTCAAGACACGGTACGGACACTTCGAGTGGGTCGTAATGCCATTCGGCCTCACGAATGCCCCGACCACCTTCCAAGCGGCAATGACAACTTGAACGGAGTTTCACGACATGTTGGACTGGTTCGTGCTCATCTACCTCGATGACGTCTTGGTGTATAGCCGAACTTTGGATGAGCACATTGTGCATCTACGTGTTGTTTTGGACAGGCTTCGTACGGCCAAGTACAAGGCCAACCGAGCCAAGTTCGAATTCGCACAACAAGAGCTCGAGTACTTGGGCCACTTTGTGACGCCGCAAGGCATCCGTCCGCTTGCGGACAAGATCAAGGCCATTCAGGATTGGCCGGAACCGACCAACACCACGGAGGTTCGCTCTTTCATGGGATTGGCCGGGTACTACCAACGCTTTGTCCAGATTGCAGTCTCCACAGGTCCTGTTCACCGACAAAGTCCACAATTCGTTCCACAAATTGAAGATTGCGTTGCTCCTCGCTCCCGTCTTGAGTATCTACGATCCCACCTTGCCTACGAGAGTGACTACGGACGCTTCCGGCTACGGCATGGGTGCAGTTTTGGAACAACACGGCGGAGTAGATTGGCATCCGGTTGAGTACTTCAGCCAAAAGGTGTCTCCCATCAACTCGGTTGATGATGCGCGGAAGAAGGAGTTGCTCGTGTTTGTCACGGTACTCTTCGTTGTATTCTTCGTTTTTACGGTTTCCTTTTTTTTTTTTTTTTTTTTTGTCCTAAGGAAACAATCAAGGAATAGAAAAAAAATGTATGTTTTTTTTTCCCGAGCCCTTTTAATATTTGTGTGTGAACGTGTTGTGTGTGTGTGCGCGCGTGGTGGGTGGCGAGGGGTGGGGCGACCCATCCCCCACCACTCAATCAATCAATCAATCAATCAATCAATCAATCAATCAATCAACGCAAAGGAAAAAAAAAGCAAAATCGAATGAATCTTCCGCTAGAACATGGAAATATACAAATCCTACCTATGTGTGTGTGTGTGTGTGTGTGCGCCTGTGGGGCCAATCAATCAATCAATCAATCAATCAATCTATCAATCAATCAATCAATCAATCAATCAATCTATCAATCAATCAATCAATCAATCAATGGGGAAAAAAATAATAAAAAAAACGAAGCAATCAATCAATCAAGCAAGCAATCATTCAATTTCGATTCATTGATTGCTTGATTGCTTGATTGCTTGATTGATTGATTGATTGATTGACTGATTGATTGATTGATTGATTGAAATAATGAAAAAAAAAAAAAAGTAAAAGAAGGAAAAGAAAAAACGGACCCAGGTCCGTGGAGATGCGCGAAAGTGGGCAGAGGTCCACGTGGCGATAGGGATTCGGATCGGGATGGGGAAGCTGACGCGGAGGCGGGCGGAGCGGCGATCGGGATCCGGATCGGGATTGGGAAGCGGTGCAGCAGCGCTGCCACGTGGCAGGGCCTTGGGGGCGGAGGTCGGCGGAGGTAGGCGAAGACGGGCGGAGGTAGGCGGAGACGGGATTGGAAAGCGGATTGGGATTGGGAAGCGGATCGGGATTGGGAAGCCGCATCGGGATTGGGAAGCGGATTGGGAAGTCGGATCGGGATTGAGAAGCGGAAGTGGAGGCGGGCGGAGGTCGGCGGAGACGGGCGGAGGTAGGCGAATGCGGCCGGAGGTGGGCGGAGCTGGCTGAAGGTGGGGGGAGAGGATCGGGATCCGGATCCGGATCCGGATCAGGATTGGGAAGCGGAAGCGGAGGCGGGCGGAGGTCGGCGGAGAAGTAGGGAGAAGCGGGGAGAAGTAGGGAGAAGCGGGGAGAAGCAACGAAGATGCTGCCGGGGAGAAGTGGGGAGAAGCGGGGCTGCCACGTGGCAGGGCCTTGATGGGGGCGCAAGCGAAAGCGGAAGCGGGGGGGGCGGAGGTTGGCGAAGGTAGGCAAAGACGGGATTGGGAAGTGGATTGGGAAGGGGAAGAGCATCTGGATTGGGAAGCGGATCGGGATTGGGAAGCGGAATGTGTGTGTGTGTGTGTGTGTGTGTGTGTGTTTCTCTCTCATTCTCTCTCTCTCTCTCTCTCTCTCTCTCTCTCTCTCTCTCTCTCTCTCTCTNAAGACGCAAGACACGGTGAGCAGCACGATTGCTCGGTGGATGTACTTCATCGATCAGTTCGACTTCACACCGAAACATATCCCGGGCCTCTTCAACCGAGTCGCGAATGCTCTCTCGCGACGATCAGAGATCTCTGCGCAGTGACTCACCACGCATTCAGTTTCGACGAAGCCCTTCATCAGCATTTTGTGCGAGCATACAAGTCTGATCTGGAATACGCCACGCTCTACGAGCAACTATCCTCGGATCACCCACCGGCCAGCCACTATCGCGTCATCGATCGCTACTTGCTTCTTCACTCACGCGACAAGGACTTACTATGTGTCCCACATGACAGTCGCTTACGGACTCGCCTTCTCGACAAGTACCACGCCTCAAGACTCGCCGGCCACCTCGGAGTCGACCGTACGATCGCAAGACTTCGGCAGCGATTCCGGTGGCCCGACCTCATTACTGACGTCACTCGGTATTGCGACTCTTGCGAAGTTTGTCGACGAAGCAAACCCCACAATCGCAACCCCTATGGTGAGTTACGCCTGTTGCCTATTCCACGGGAACTCGACCTCTCCATTGCCATGGACGTCACTAGCCCGTTCCCCCGGGACCGCTTCGGGCACGACAACATTCTCACAGTCATTGACCGTTTGAGCAAATACGCACGATTTCTTCCTTGCAAGTACTACGTCACGGCTCCGGAACTTGCACGCCTCTTACACACCGGCTGGATTTCTGGCCACGGCGTTCCGGAAGACATCATCAGCGACCGCTACACTCGTTTCATGTCGGCATTTTGGACCTCTGTCATGAAAGAGTCCGACACCGAGATGAAACCAAGTTCGGCTCGGCATCCGCAAACGGACGGGCAGACGGAGCGGGCACATCAAACCGCTCAAGTAATGCTTCGCACACTCATCCGTACGGATCAGAAGGATGGGGTGGACCGCCTTCCCGACATCGAATTCGCCTACAACACTTGGTGCACCCGGCGATCAGCGTGACTCCGTTCGAGTTACACCACGGTGGCCGGAAAGGCCGCATCTTCGCTCATCTTCCTTTTCCAAGGACGACCGACATCGACGCCGCTTGTTCGCCCACCTCCGCAGCAAGCTAACAGGCGTCGTGTGCCATGCCCCATCCGCGCTGGCGACCTTTCTGGGTCTCCACGGAAGAGAGCAGGATGTATCCCGCAAGCTACTTCCAAAGTGGTTTGGACCATGGCCCGTCACATCAGCCGCAGGTGATGAACCCGATGGCCCCTCATTTGTGATCGAAATCCCGCCGCATCTCACGGTGCATCCGGTTTTCCACGCCTCCAAGCTGGCCACATATACACTAGCCAAGAGCGACGACTTACCGGGAAGACGATCGCAGGACCCTCCTTCCATGGATGGCCATCAGGAAGTCGATCGCGTCATCACGCATCGCAAGCACGACAACAAGCCTATGCAGTACGAAGTCACATTCAAGTGGTGCGACCCCGACGACACGCAATGGATTTCCCGGGCAGCTTTGCAAGCCTCCGCTCCTGACATCTATGCTCATTATGAGAAGAAACGGCTAGCGACGGAAGCTGCACAGCCTCCCACCCGGACTTCAGTCCCTCCCTCCACCAGACAGCTTCGCCCTCGTAGGTAGACTCGGTCTTTCAAGAAGGGGGGAGTGTGGCATACTTCGTACCACACGGGCCCAACAGAGCCCGACCTGGTAGACTAAGGGTCCGTAGGAGTAGGGCCTGTTTCGTTTTCAGCCTAAAAGCCTGAAACGAGGGTCCTACAGACCCTGTGTCGTTTCTACTTCCAGCCTGAAAACGACGGGCCATTTTCAGGCCCTGTGTCGTTTCAGCTTCCAGCCTGAAAACGAGGGCCTACAGGCCCTGGGTCGTTTCGGTACCCTGAAACTCAGGTACCAGACCGGGGTTTTAGCTCAGGCCACTATGGCCTATTTTGTGGAGCGCCAACCCCAGGGTCTGACACGTTTTGGCATAGGCACGAGCAGCCTCTCGGACGGCCCAACACTATATAATGCTGACCCGCCCTGTAGGTTGCAGGCAGTTCCCAGGCACTTCACGTGCAGAGGGCACGAGGTAGTCTTCAGGACTCGGCAGCGGGACTCTGGAGGAGGAGTAGCAATAGCAATAGTCTTCAGCGCTGGGCGCTAGTAGGAGAGAGAGAGAGAGAGATGGTTGGCGGAGGCCAGGGATACTCACCTGCGGCGCCATAGCTCCAGCTTCGTCTTCGCRGTACCYGCAGCAAGGCGCCACCTTCACAGGTTAGTATCGGACAGAGAGAGAGAGAGATTGAGTTCTTCTTCTTCCTCCTCTAAGTCCACCATCTTTTCCTCACCCTATCGGCCCTTGACTTCTCTGTATCTACCGGCTACGAGAGAGAGAGAGAGAGAGAGAGAGAGAGAGAGAGAGAGAGAGAGAGATATGGGCGACATTGGGATTTGACGACATTGGGGTTCAGACTCAGCATCGGGATTCAGACCTTTGGTGAGGGATTATTTGGGACTGTATCAAGACTTGGTGTTGACGACATTTCCATCTTCCCCCTCCCCTTCGTCTAATCCTCCTCTTCTTCGTATATGCATGATCAGGGACTGACGCATTCTTCCCGTGTGAGCGTCATCCCCCTTCACACCATGGAATGATGATGATGCATGTTTGGTCTGCATGGCAGCTTGATTGATCGGATCATTGGTATCTAAGGCTTCCATTGTGCTATCTTGTATCTGGCGAGAAAGGTCGGTTCTTGGTCTGGTCTGCACCTTTACGGTATGCAACAAAAAATCTCTCCGTTTCAAGAGTGGTGTGGCGAGGCCCTTGGTGAGTGGTGCCACGGGCTTGTGGAGTAAGGCAAAGCACCAGAGAGTGGGTGGTCACCGACCTAATTCGTTACCGACTATAGGTATACTCACACGGGGACCTAAAGTAGCAAATATTTGCGGCGTTTGGTACCGCCAATTTGCGAATTTGGGTACCCGTGTGGTCACACGGGCCGTGGCGGGCGGATTGTGTCCACAAAGGACACAATCGCAACCCTGACATTTGCCCGTCCCAGGAACTGCACGTAGTCACACTGCTTACACCCAAAAATATAGGGAAAAGTTATAAACTCACCCCGCGACTAAACCTTTGTAATCATTTATCCCCAAATGGAGCAAAAAGTGTCGCAGGCCCCAAAATGACTTTTCCTGTCATTTTTGCACCCTGGTTGGGTAGGTAATGCCCGCTGTGTAAAAATGGCAGGAAACTGTTTTACAGGCTGCAAAAATGATGCCAAACATCATTTTGGGGCCTGCGGCACTTTTCACCCATTTGGGGGGGTTAATAACTTTTCCCTAAGAATATACAAAGTTCTTTTTTTTTGTTTTGGGGGGGGGGGTCCGACGTGAGTTCCCGATTACCGTGGTTGCGCAGCGCTACCGGGAGCGCTGCGCCCCCAAGGCACAGAATGCGGTGCACAGTCCGAGCTGGTTGGCGGCCCTAAGCGCGATGGCACGTTGGTACGGCGCGACATTGGAAGTTGGGGAAGGGTTGGATGCAAGTGGGATGGCATCGGTGCATTGAGGAGGAGGGTTTGGGCGGCGCTGGTTGTTTGGAGAGGGTGAGTTGTAGGGTGGCTACACGACGGCGAGGTAAGTACGACATCTGGTGGGGCCCTCTACACATCTCTCTTGCGTACTCCAACATCGGCAAGGAAGCAAGCTCGGTTCGTGGTGCGTGCCTTCGTCATAACTCCTTTCCTTCCGCCCCTCTCTTTTCTCGTTTTGAGCGGCATTTGCAACACCTTTGTTGCTTGAACCCTTCATGGAACTCGTCGCTGGGTTTGGCAAGGACGCACTATGACACCCTCCGCTAAGTCCACTTGGTGTTTCGAGGTGGGGGGTGCCCAGTTGGTGCCTTCGTAGGCTGGCAAAAGAGTCGTTGCTAGGGTTTGCCTAGCATAGCGGCCAGCAGGGGAGGGGAGATGTTGTTCCTCTCTTACGAAGGTGGTGGGAGGTGAGTTTGGGCGGAAGGAGGAGAGTTGCATCATGTGGCGACCAGGGCGACGAAGTTAAAGATGGCAATAGCGGTGGGAGATTTTTTGAAGAATCAGCGAAAGCGATGGACGTTGTTAGGATCTTGATTCAGCGGATGTCAGTATCATCCACTTAGAGGTGGGTGTCACGAAGATCTGTTTCATAGGCAATAGTCCTCGCCCCACTATCTCAAAAGATTCTCTGGATTAGATCATGGTTTCTAATTTCTTCTTGAGGATGACCATTCTGTAGGCTTGAGTAGGTCAATTGCTATGTTCTCGCCTGAATTTTTTGTTTGATAAATTCCTAATCAACTTCAAATTTCTTCCAATAGTATTTCTCTGTTTTTGCGAATTTTCAATTCCTAAGTGGTTGTTCTTGATCCTTGACTTCGTTTTTCCAATTCTGCTCAATGATATCTCTCGACTCTTGATTCGCAATGACTTCATAATCGGTAATCCTTTAATTGATAATTTTACAATAGTATGTTCCTGATTTTGGATTGTGAAAGTATGCTACTAAATTTTGTTCCCAATTTTAAAATCCCTGATTGTTCGATGAAAACTCTGTTTTCGACGTATAGAAATTGAATGTTCTGATTGA